GATACTAGAGCTTCACTCAGGGACCTGGAAGATGGAAGTCCAGTTGGATAACACAGGTTGAGAGAACCTGTCCATGATAAGCAAGCATGAAGCGAAAGTGGAGAGGAAAAACTCCATTGGGAAGAAACCTCTGGCAGAACCAGGCTCAACATGGTGGTCTTCTGCCAGACAGGTTAAGGTGTGACAGGGAAAGCAGTCACACAGGGCATCGCCCCCTGCCCGCAGGAGAAGAGAGGTGCGGATCGGAGGCCTTTTAAGATGAACTTTGGATGCCGATTGGCATTCGTGGAGGTGTAGTTCAAAGCTGTTTGGCTGTGTCGCAGGTGGATGTAGGAGAGCAATGAGTTTCTTCAGCTGAACTTCCGCCTAGGCTCCATAAATCAGAATTGCGAGAAAAAAGTCAGAATTCTGAGATTAAAGTCAGAACTTTTTTTCTCAGATCATATTGAAATAAAATTTTAACATTATTTAACTTTTTTTTGTGTGTGTGGCATTAATCCCCTTCTATATAACTGCCTTAATGTGGTTAAAAGTTTTTTTTTTTTTTAACAGATAATCTGCATCTCAGATTTTTTTCATTTTATATTTAGTCCCTGAATTGAGCTTTTATTCTGAAAGAATGTCTGATCGCTTCCTGTTTCTGCAGCGGGGAAACTTGGCACCACTTTTTCCAGCTCTGGTTCTGTAAAGTTCAAGTAGCTGAGGTTCAGCCTGCCGCCGCCGGCGCCGCCTCCTCTCCGCTCGGCTGCAGGGGACAGAGGACACTCCTGCAAGGGGACACTTTTGCAAAGGGACAGGCGCAGGTAAGATCTGTTGATCCGGTTCTAGCTCTCTATTTAAACTCTCTTCTTTCATGCACGGATCAGCATGATGCTGGTAGGAGGCAGTTCTCAGCTCTCACCTCTTGTTCCTTCTCAGCCTTTGCTTTTCTTACATCGTTTCTTGTACATTTAGGAATTAAATTAGATAAAGAGGTTCATTGCTTCTGACTGCATCCCAGTTTCCTATCCAGCTTCCTTTTCCTCAGGACTGTAGTTAGGTTGTGTGAGTTTTGCCAGTCAGTGGATGATGTGGCTGTCAGCTGCCATCAGGTACAAATCTTAAGGGTGGCATTGTTTTCTTCACCAGCTGGGGGAGCAGCTCACAGTTTCTTTCTTTAGTAAAAGCACAGAATCAAGTTTCAATGGACATGATGTAGACATGACTGTTACCTTTTTAAGTTGTGCATGCATAGCTTGCACAATTTCAGGTTTCAGTGTGCAACTTATGGAGGTTCGACTAAAGCAGTATGTATTTGTCAAACTCATCCTTTTGGTTGAATAAGTTTTACCTTTTTGCGGGAATCTTTAGGTTTTAGCTAAATTATTAATTCAGTTTAAATAAATTCAGTTTATTTCTATAGCAACAATTTACATGTACTTTATATGTACTTTATATGCTCATACAGTCAGATTAGTTCAAATTTATCTCTCTAAGGAAAACCAGTTGATTCCTGATCCTTTCAGCAATCCCTCACACCAAGCATGCATGCAGTGACAGTGGAGAGGAAAACTCATATTTAACTGGAAGAAGGCATAATATTAAAGCTATTTCATAAGAGTGTTAGCACAGAAACTGTAACCAATTAATATCTGCATTTGCAGTTTTACTTTAGAGGTGATCTAAAAATTAAGGTTTTGCACTTCTAGCTTCAGCTGTGTTGAGAAAGAATCAGTTTTCATCGCCTAGACGGCAACCTGCAGCCGAAACTGGCTCTGTCTCTCACTTAATAATATTTAATGTAAGTGAACTACTGCCCTGTTTTGTTTGTTTGTTTTTTGTTCCGTTCCTTCATTCCCTGTCCCCCATGAAAAGAATAAAAATAAAAAAAATCCCTGCCCCTGCAGCTCTAGTTTCCTCCTGTCCACTGTGGCTGTATTCTTGCTCAAGATGATCCATTATGGTTATGGTCCACAACTCGATGCAAGAGCTGGGCTTCTTAGATCCTTTTCATTGGTTGGAATAGAATGATAATAATTATTATTTTCTTGTTCTGTTTAATTAATAGGATTAAGTCAGACTTTAAGCAACAGCTGGTACTGTTGAACTGCATCAGCACTGTGATCATATCCTATACATTAGCACATCTGGAAAAAAAGATTGAAATATTCTGTAAAGTGTAATATTTTAGGGACTTTGCATTAATAATTGTTAATTACTCCTATACCCTAACTACAGGTCTGTATAGATAAATTAGTAGATTATTAAAAGATGAATTAATTTCATCACATTCTCAGAGATTTATACCAGCACACTACTTTAGTTAATAATGTTTTTATGGTTTTTAGTGAGCGAGAACAACATTTTTAGTTTCCTGGGAAAGTTTCACTGAAAACCAATTGGACCTGTTGAAAAACATTTCTTAAAGTTATCTATGACCAGTCGGTCAGTCCAGTTTGCAGGTCAATAAAGCACAGTGACACCATGACCCACCTTCTGGTATCCTTTGGTAGTTTAGAAAGGTAGTAGTTACTCTAAACTTACTTAGTTCATCTCCATCAGAGGTGTTAATTGGAAATAATCTGCAGAAACAATATGTATCACGATACATTTGTCCCAATTCGACTCATCCCTACATTAACAAAGACGATATTTTGCGATTTTTATTGTTATTTAGCTCTAGAAAACTTGGCAACATCCTGTTGTTGCTTTGCTGTGGCTTTTGCAAAGCAGCTGAATGATAAGCTTTTTGACGGTGTGCTGCCAACTAGTGGCTGGAGCTTTAAGAGTTATGTTAAAATAAATCAATAAAATAGATGTTTGTCTATAGATACATTTTTTATGGATGCACTGATCCGACATTTTTATCGGTATCGGTCCAGATATAAAGAAAAAAAACTAGATCGATATCGGTGACAATTGACTCTATACGGGCCGATCTATACATACCGTCATGCGGCAGCGCAACAACACAACACGGCCATATTGTTTATGATGGAGCGGGCGAAAGGATCTGCGATGTGGTTTTTCACGCTCTCTCACCCTACTAGCCCAATGGCGTGCAATAGTTGTGGGAGAAATGTTCCGAGGGGCGGTGTTAAATCTTCAAACTATTACACCACCAACTTAATGAAACACCTCCAGAAGTTTCATAACAAGGAACATGCTGAGATTATCAGACTCGGCAAACAAAACCACAGAGGTGATACTTGATAATGATAATGACACTTTTTTTTACATGTCGACCAAGTCAGAGAACTTTTGGTTTAAGATTTTGTTGTTAAATAAATGAGTCATAACATTTATATTTGGGTTGTTTCCTATTTTTTTTTAGGAAAAGGGAAATCAAATCACTTGCACAGAAGAATGATCCCAGTTTTTTTTCACACAATAAAACAATTTTTTAAGTAATAATTTAGTGCTGTTTTTGGTATTGGATCGGTATCGGCCGACAATAAACTTCAAATATCGGTATCGTATCGGAGGTAAAAAAAAGTATATCGGTGCATCCCTAATATTTTATATTCGAGATCCATTGGCTGTATGTTGAATCGGTACCAGTATTGTCTAATGAAATATTGCGATATTTCAAAGTCAGTTTTTTTTACACCACTAATATCCATAAAGCTTAACAGCAGGTTAAAGCATGCTGCGCTTTAAAAAAATATGTTTTTAAACATTAGGGAACATGATAGAGGCAACCTCTGGGGTTAGAGGTTGACCAATACAGCAGCAGCATTGTGCATTCTTTTGCAGATTAGGCAGTGCATTCGACAGCCATGCATTCATTGCTGCCTCCTCCATGTGCTTTTTATTGTGGTTTCATTCATTAATGATTGCTGAGGAAGCTCATCAGTAACATTTGTAATCATTGTGTCATTTGAATCATGAAAATGCAGGAAGAAAAAAGCAACATTTGTTAAAAAACTCAAAGGGAATTGGTATGACTGATGTCAAAATAATTAATATAAAAAAAAAACTGTCAATCTCTACAGTGTAGCATCGACTTTATATCGAAAACCAACAAATGATGTCTTCTTTAGTTTGTGCTCTGACAGGCATTTTGTCTATATTTGGACTGCTGCCTAGAAGCAGTTAAAAAGCAGAGTAAGAAAAGCCTCTTTTACTTTCTGTTCCCTCTCTTCCCTTCACCTCTATCTCACTTGCATTGTGTCGAGTCAGCTCTCCCTCTCTCTCCCTCTCACACGCTAAATATTGTTTCAGACTCGAGAGGCACAATTTCAGAGCGAGGGGAGCACATCCGAGGCTCTCCCGCCTGTTTACGTTCCCACTTTTCATCTGCACTGTGTTTATTTGGGGAAATCTGCAAAGGAATGCCAGGCCTCTTTCTCTTTCTGTCTTTATGGCGGAGGGAGAGTTTAGTCTGAGAGTGGGCCCCAGGCAGTGCTTTCTATCACCTGTTTGGGTTTTTTTCCCTGCTTGATCCGCTTGATTTTAGACTCTAAATAAAGCCAGGATTATGACATTAGATTTTTCAGGCATTTGACCCCCCCTCCCCCCGTGCAAAAGTCCTATTAGAAAAGACTGCCAGTTTAACGAAATAATAAACTGAACCTAAAACTGATTCATGAGCTACTCCCTGATCAAAGTGGAGGCGGGTTGGGGGGGGGGAGTGCTGCTCTCGGAGCTAAGCTGGCGGACACTTAGCATCTGTTCACTCCACACAGACTTTACTTTGAGCCGGTCATATGGATTTGATTAGTGTACCGGGGTTTCGGATTGCTCCAGTCTCCCTGGCAGCAGTTAGAGACAAGGACATCATAATTAGCTTCAGTGTTTGAAGGAAAAAGCATTAGGCATTCATCCCGTGAAAAGCATCAAACATTGCTCACCGAGAAAACAATACTCTGCGTCTTTTGGCATCTTTGCATTATTTGGCCCCATCCGTTTAAGAACTCCAACCTATATGTTTGCAGATCAGTCCAACTTTTCTCCCCCTCTGTCTAACAACAAGCCTTTTATTTTCTCTCTTGCGAGCTGTGATAGCGTTGGAGGCTATCGCAGCCCAGACCTCTTTTTCTCCTGGCCGCAGCTGTACGCTCCTTTTTCGCAGCTGGTCCAAACAAAACACTGAGTGGAGAGTCGGCGCTCGCTTGGCCTGCTGACAAACATGCGTTTTTATTTCACAAAGAGTGATACACCCCAGAGGAAAGGTTTTACACAACAGACCGCAGGAAGATGTACAACGGCGTCACCTCTGCATGACAGCCCGATCCCAATTAAACCCGGTTTATAATGGAGTAACATTTCACTGGTGAGGAGCATGCATGTTGTTGTTGGGAGATTTTTTGTGAAATCACTTTGAGGGGCTTTGCTTTAAAAACTCTTAAGGGTCAACGAGGGGGTCTTTTCCCCCTCCCTCCCTTCTGGGTTTAAGTAAACAAAAGTAGCGTTATTTGTAATGAAAATTTGATATCAGGCAGCCGAATTTAATAACCTCACAATAAATTGTAAAGGGGAGGAGGAGTAATGAAAACGGAGAGGAGTTTAGCTCTTTTGCAGGAAATGTCTGGGAAAAAGCCAGAGGGGGGGGACGGGAGAAGGAGCTTTAGTTCTGCTTAGGAGGGACGCTGCAATGGCACAAAGGCCAGTTTGCTTTTACTCTATCTGCTCCACATATTTCTGACATAAAGCAGGAGATCCTTTTATAGGGATCTTTTTCCCCCCTTACTATCACCACCTAAACGTCTTCCATCTGCCTCTGATTACCTTTGGCTGCAGTTGGTCAGCTGCCAGCCATCCGGGCCAGTGTGGCGTCTCCACTTGCCCTTCATTCCCCAGACGGCTCAGAGGGAGTGGGGGAGGAAGGTGGGCTGGGGCAAGAGTAGTTAAACCCGCTGGGCAGTCTGTGTGCATGATAGCAGCACTTGAGGCATTTGGTTCAAAAATATCCTGTCAGTTTTAAAAAAGTCAGAGAGAAGGGCAGAATTTAAAATGTAAGTATTGGTTTAGTAAAATTAGATGTTTAAGACAGATTTCTACAATGATGGGAAAAAGCAGAGAGAACATAAATTTAGTTGTTGAACTAACAAATGATGTAGAATTGGAGAATAGAAAATGAAGCAGAGAGGAAAAGTGGTCCCTATGTCCTCCGGCAGCCCAACCCTATAGCAGCACACCTTAAGAGGTAGGTTATGATAATCTGAGCCTTTTTAACAATAAGATTTATCAAAAAGGAAAGTTTTAAGCTTACCGGTAGTCTTAAAAGTGGACATGGTGTCTGCCTGGAACACTAAAACTGGAAGTTAGTTCCACATGAGGTGAACAAAAAATAGAAGATCTGCCTCCCATATTTCATTTGAAATTCCAAGAGCCACTGTAAACCAATATATTAGAGGGAAGTGCTGTCTTAGGAACATAAAGAACAATTATATCTCTGATATAAAATGGATACACGATTGTAATTTAGCATTTTATACTTAAGGATATTTTCCCCTTCTATTCTGGATTTAACATAGACAGACCTACAGAATTTACAGCAGATCAGCCAAGAAACACTTCCTGCAGTAGCTCGGTCAAAGTTAAGGCCTAGATCCGAACTTTGTTCACTGAAATCCCAAAAACCTGAGACTATGTTATAAAGAAGATTGGCCAATTGTTATGTGAGCCGATAAAAAGAAAATAAAAGCTTCCAGTTTTATTGCCTATTGTGGCTTGTATAATGTTAGTTTTCTTTTACTTGACTAGTAACAAACCCATGGAAACTTAGATTTTCCTTGTGAAAGTGCAAGTCAGATTAAAGTTACTACATTAGTCGTTGTCTGAGGTGTGAACAAGCTCCATATAAGCACACATACCATCAGCTTAGACATGCTGTCCAATTAGGACTTTCGGGCAGGCTGCCAGCCAGTCACCCAGCCATACGACCAAACATCAGAGCCTGCCAGCCTGGCATCCCACTGCTTTTCTCAAACAAGCTAATTTTACCCCAGAAGCTCCAACATAATACCCTTTGCAAAGCCTGTTTATGGATTCAGGGTGCTGCCTTCTTTGTAACCACTCTTTCCTGTGCTTGTGTCAAAGCTAAGATTAATGTGTATAAACGTAAAAAGCTCAGTCTCTGTATAGGTCTTATTTCCTCTACTCCTCCCTCCTCTTTGAGTCTAAATTTGTCTCACTGCTCATTGTCATTCACTTTACTGGCTTTCCTCTTAAACTGTTTTTCTTTTACAGGGCAACAGAAAGGACCACTGCCTGCCAGTGCTGCCAATCCCCTATCAGAGAAGCCGGATTCGCGTGTTTTCTCTTTTCTATGAGGACTGTCACCAGTGATAGACTCGCTGCAGGTGCATAGACCCTCTAACTGATCTTCCTGCAGCCATGGCCCCACCGAGCACTGAACTGTCCCGCTGCTAGGCGACAGGGCATCCGACAGGGCAGGAGACATGTTGGGACAGAGGCCAGAGGACCACTGCACTGAAGTCTGTTACTATAGCAAATACTGTAGTAACCATGGAAAAGCTATGGAGGACTGCTCTAGTCTGGATTGTTATCATCCATTTTGCCACCGGGATCACAGGAGGTCGCAAAGATGAGTTTGGGAAATCACAAGGTAAGATAAAAGGGAACTAACAACACCTGTTGGATGATATGTGTTTTCATGGTATGGTGTCAGCACCTTGAGTTCTTTAAACAGGTCAGCAGTAATCATGTTCATCTACAATATACAATGCAGAGAAGTTTTTGTTTGGAATCTGATAAAATATGAAAAAAAAATTATAACTTCAAACTCTTTCTTTGACCCCCTTTCTTCCTTTTTTATTCTCAATAAGACTCAGAGACTGAAATACCTTTAAAGCCATGAACTGTCCATGTTGCATCAGCCAGGACTAGACTGTCCCTGTTTATTTTTTTCCTCTATTTGCCCACTGACCTCTAAAAGACATGTGGCTCTAATGTCCTTTACTGCTTCTCCCTTTAAAGAAACCTCAGACTCTGATTGGGGTAGGGAGGTGTTGGCCTCAACATTGTCTTCTTACACAGTGGATGCATCACTCGCTGAAGTGCACTTGTTAGACCGTTAGTAAATTGAGTTTCCTGCAGCAATAAATCCATATGATAAATTATCATATCTACATGTCTGTACAGCTGCGTTTGGCTTAGTTTTTCAATGTTTGCAACACAAAGGTTTCTGATGCAGAAACAACCTTGGACGGAAAACATTTTTGGAGAAAAAGGTCTTTAAGTCGGTCATCTAAACTGAAAAATCTGAGCTGCTACCAGTGTTAGTGTGGATGTAAGCATGTTACTGAATAAGTTGGAATACGTTGTCGGGTATTAAAGAGTGGTAAGGGCTTCTGGGGTGAGCGGATCAGCACCAACCAGAAACCTAGTGGTATACACAAAGCAGAGTAGGATCAGACCTCAAATATATCAGGTCGCTGAAGCTGACCCCCTCCAAAATGAAACCGATGCCCCAAAAAAAGCTGTACGAGGCAGACAGACCCCTCTACCTGTGGCGGCTGGTGGAGTTTTCTCCAGGGGGGGCTATGAATTCAAAATAGATGTATACCAAAAACCAATATATGGATGCCAACAATTAAAAAAACATAATTTAATGTACAGGTTTACTTTTTGTGCATAAATTTTGCCTTTTTGAGGCTTTGTAAAGGCAAACCGAAAAACCAAAAAAAAAAAAAAAAAAATAATGTACCAGTTTAATAATAGAGAAGCTATTAGTCAGCTTTATATTCTTTTTAACATAAAAAAAGTATTTATTTTTCTGAGTGTTTGTTTAAGAACCGCGGTGCGGTGCAATTTAATGAACATCTAGAAAAAGTATACTATATTATTTTCCATGTGAATCCCAGATTCTTCATGCTTCTTTGCCATTTCTAAAAAGTGCTTTAGATCTTTCCTACCTGTCTTTATCCATGCTCGGTCAGACCCTGACGTTTGAAAAAGGAGACAGGAAAGCAGAATAAAGCTTTAGCCTTGAAGCATGCAGTTAGCCAAGCCTTGTAAGAAAACTGGGTCCTGGAAAAAGCGCCCTTACACCTTGTATTGGCCAGCAACCACTGCCCTCTACTATCCTGCTACCAAAGGACAACCAGCCATAAACAATTAAAAAAGCCATAAACAACCAAAAAAAAAAAAAAAATGCCATACCAGATCTGACCAGAAGAATCCATGACGCCTTCTGTCAAACAGTAACCCAATCCAGATCAGCCCCCTTTGATCTAAACTAAAAAGAGACCTCAACATTGTCAGTTTTCTTAATAAGACTCTACTCAAGTAATGTTGAAGATGAAGCCATAAAGAGGGTTATCAACTTGGTTAATAGATCCAGGACACGTTCAACTAGGAGGAGCTGCAATAAGGGGATCAGCAGTGGTTAGGTGGCGCGCTAACCAATGCGCCACCTGCACGCCCAATTCTGGCAGCTTTTACTCTGAATAGAGGTTGCTGATTTGGCTTAAGTTCAATGTCATTTTGAAAACTTTCAGTGTGACCAGTGTTAACGCTGAAATGGACTGAGCCCTGGGTTAGGGGGCCCAGATGTAAGGCACAGGGCTGATAAGTACATAGAAAATAAGTATAGTAGCCAGAATTTTTGTGTAATTTCAGCTTAGATACAAGATGCACTCTTTGCATGTACTTCCATGTGAACAGAGCTTAGCCCTCCCTATCTATAAGACTCCACAAGAGTTGCATAGCACAGGACCAAAATGATGGAGAAGGCAAGGATTGAAACTCTCACCTGACGACAATCACTTCAAAAAATGAGGCTCTGCTGCAAAGTAGTGAGTTTATTAATTTTGCACAAGGCATGTTCGTCTGGAAGGTGATTTTTTCATCTTGTGTACGTTTTTACATATGTTCATACAAAGCAGAGTGGAGGTTTACACATCTTGTTTTGGTCTACAGACCGTGCTCAACAGCCCCACCTAATATTGCAGTTTGCTTTATTTCTTCTTAAATGCCAAAGTTTCATGGAAAGGTTAGAGGTTTCTCTTGATTCTGCTTGATTATAATGCATTACGTGCTGCTGGACATTTTTGTCCCACATGCTTTAGTTCGAAGATAAATCCAAAGTCTGTTCTTCTTCTTTTTCTTTTTTTTTAAACCCCTAATGACCATCAGGACTCCAACACATCTTTTGTATTTCTGTATCCCTGCCCATAACCATCATACCAAGACAAATGAGCCCTAAATATTTCAACCAAAATATTAAATTTCTAGTATCCAACAAAATTAAGTCTATTATGGTCTGCATTTGTCTTGGAAGGCACTCTTCTACATCTTTTATTTTTTATTTCCATTTTGTTTTGAGTGGGGAATGTTGGGTGGAGATATTCTAAGGCAGCCATTAGAGTATTAACAGAGCTATGCACAGATGTTGGGAGATAAGGGCTGGCGTTGTGTCTTTATTTCAGTTCATTTTAAAACATTTGAGCCAAGGGCTGTTATAAGATGTCAAGCAATTGATCTATTGTAATTAATGGACATTGACTGGAGATGACTTGATCTCCAAGCATGTTTGAAATATTTGCTACCTTGTCTATGAGAGTGGGACTAATTGAAATGTATAGCACCTCAGAGTGGATCAAAAATCCAGATTTTGCATCTTTATAGCTTTACTCAGATAAAAACATGGTTGACACCCCTCCTCAAGATCATGTGGAGGTTGCCCCTAGATTGGCAAACTGGGGTGGATGTTCCCCTATATAAGAAGAGGGATCGGAGGGTTCCAACTATAGGGAGATCACATTTCTCAGCCTCTCTGGGTAGAACTATGCGTCTGAGTGATTGTCGTACCTCAGCTTCAGGAGATGCAGTTTGGTTTTTCTCCTGACTGGGACACAGTGGACCAGCTCTACACCCTTTTCAGGGTATTTGAGGGTTTATTGGAGTTTGCCCAACCAGTCCACATGTATTTTTTTTTTTATACATAGAAAAGCCATGTTCCTCATGGTAATCTGTGTGAGGCACTTCAGGAGTATGGAGTCGGGGGGCCCTTTACTAAGGGGCCAATCCAGTGTCTTAACAAGTGAAGCAGGAGTTTGGTCCACATTACCGGCATTAAGTCAGACCTGTACCAGGTGCATGTTGGACTCCAGCAGGGCCGCACTCTTGTCACCAGTCCTGTTCATAAGCTTTATGGACAGGATTTCTAGGTGAAGCCTGGGGCCAGAAAGGGTCTGGTTCGGGTACCAGCAGATCCTGTCCCTGCTTTTTGCAGATGATGTGCTTCTTTTGGTTTCTCTCCTGCCAAGACCTGCAGCATAGACTGTGGCAGTTGCAGCCAAGTGTGAAGTGGCTGTGATGAGAATGAGCTCCTCCAAGTCAGAGGCCATGGTTCTCAACCACAAAATGGTGGCTTGTCCCCTTCAGGTTGGAGGAGACCTACTCCCTCAAGTAGAGAAGTTCAAGAACCATGGGTTCCTGTTCACAAGTGAGGAGAGAATAGAATGGATAGACAATATAGGAACACATTCAGCTGTTTCTATATTGTGGATGCTCCGCCCATCTGTTGTGGTGAAGGGAGAGCTGAGGGGAAAAGCAAAGCTCTTGACTTACCAGTCGGTCTACGTTCCTAACCTCACCTATGGTCATGAAGCTTTCCCTGCAGGGTTCCTGGGCAGTCCCTTAGACATAGGGTGAGGAGCTCGGTCATTTGGGAGGTAGACGGTCTCTCGGCAGACTGGGAGCACCTCGGGCTGCCCCCAGCAGAGCTGGAGGAGGTCTGAAGAGGAAAGTATGATAGTCCCGATGAGACTAAAGGCTGATTTATACTTTGAAACTAGGTCATCTGCATAGGTGTCGCAGTGAACAAAAAGATGTCTCCGCCCCCTCCGCAGACACTCTGCTGCACCTCTTCCAAATTGTAGGTATCGCAGAAAGTGCGGCAGACAGGAGGCCGGCTTGTTTTGTTTTTATGACTGCAATTGTGGAAACTCGTCAAGTTGGTAGGACCAGCTAGAAGAGCGAGGTGTGCGAGAACGCTGGGAGAACGCTCTTTTTCGCTGTCATGTCCCTCCATTGTCGGACAAACTTGCCCCCACTTCCTCACCGCCTCGGCCGTATCTAGACCCACAGCGTATAGCACAGACCACACTGAAATTTAAGCATAACTGTGTGCGTCAAGCTCACTGCGACACACTGCTGCTGGGAGTCTACCCAGCAAGTGAACACTAACTGAACACTATCAGGGTGAATAATGTGTATAGTTTTATTTGATGATGAATAAATACATTTTAATAATCATATGCAACCCTTTAAAGGTACACTATGCAACCGGTGTTGATTTTCCAGGGAGGCTCCCTCCAGAGGGCGAAAGTAAAAGTGCACTGTCGTAAATATGCTCAGCTGTTCTCCTGGTTTCTCCGTCAAGCCAGGCGCGGTTGTTTTGAGCTTAGCAGCGAATGACTAACGCTGCGTTCACACTGGATGTAGCTGGCGCGACAGAAGCAGCGAGTTTACATGCAAAGTCAATGGTTGACGCGCGTCAAGGCGCAGCAAAAGATCCCGCGGCGCGTTTTGAGCTGCAGGCGCAGCACGTCTGAGCGGCTGCAGCAGCGCGTCGGGTGCGTTTAATGCAGGGAGAGAGAC